CAACTTTTTGTTACCATAATGTTAACAAATGGAGCATTTTTTTTTTTTTTGTTGTGGTTTTCCATCCGGTATCGGGGCTTCAACCCAACTACTTCGGATTTGACCAGCTGTGACAAACCAGAATGGTGAGTGGGTCTCCCAACGAAAGCTGCTGCATACACAAGGTTTCAAACTTGAGATTTTACTTAAACTGGAACAAATCACTTGCCACTTGATCCAACCCCTCGTTGGTACCAACTGGAGCATTTTTAAACAGAACATATTATTGCATAATTTTAATAAGAAAACAAAAACAACTAATCACCTGTTTGTCTAGTCTAAATTTTTTTTTTTATAATTGTATAATAAAATGTAATTTTTTATATTTTTTAACTCATTTAATTCATATATCATAGAATTTGAATCTAAAATTTTTTATTTTTATTAAAAAGAGGGTGTCACCGAATTAAGTTAATTAATACAAATAATTTATAAAATCTCAATTGATCCTCTTGCTTAATCCGGACAAATGTCATTAAAAGTTAAAAACATGGCAGACACTGAACAATCATGTTAACAAGTTAAAATAATATTTCTTTTCCAATAATTAAAAGTAATCTATCTTAAAATGAAAAAAAGTATAATTTAAAAGACAATAATATAAAAATAATTTTTTATATAATTTTATAATATAATTTTTTATTATATAATTAATATTTTTATTTATTATATATTTATTTAATATTATATTATAATTCTAATTTTATAATATAATTTTTTATAACAGTTGTAATTATACATTTACAATACAACATCTAGAGTAAATTATAACACGTTGTAAGTTTTAGATTGTCAAATCCAAATGATGTTGTATTAGACGTTTAATTAATTAGCTATTTACTGTACCAAAGAAAACCAAACAAACTTTTCAAAAAAACAGAAACAATTATTCATGCGCAATTATCATGCCATCAATTCAAAAGCATGTACAGTAATTAGAAAAGGAATATTGATAAGACCAAGAAAAGAAGTAGAATGTTGACTTTTAAACAACCCTTTAGTCTCTTCATTTGACAAGAAATTAT